ATAGTGAGTGTGGTAGTGGTGGATAGTGAGTGTGGTAGTGGTGGATAGTGAGTGTGGTAGTGGTGGATAGTGAGTGTGGTGGTTTGCGAGTGTGGTTGTCCTAGTTCAGGGGTCGGAAACTGAAATAACAAGAAGCGCTGTTAAAAAAACCTTCAATATTTAAACAGCCGCAATCCATTTGGAGATTTTGTAACGTTGTCGTGGTTAACGTTACCGCAGCCCTCGCAGCAACTATATTGTGGTGGTGTCGGAGCGGTGTGTGTGGCGGGGCTCGCTGTGCGTGGTGTAAAGCGTGGTGAGACCACCGCGGTGCTGTGTCGGTTGCGGTGTCGGCACGGCGAGTGAAGCTGTGAGCGTGCGCCGCGTCACCGCACCGCGTGTGCCGTGTTGCAGGGTTCTTTGAGATGAAGATGCGTTACGACGAGAGTGACAACGCTATGTATCCGCGCGTCACGCACCCTCACCGACAAGTCTCCCAGCTCGTCGGTGAGTAGCCTCTCTCTCTATCTCGCACTCTCGACCTCGGAGGGGTTTGAAGTCCGATTCCGCCGCATTATTAAAGAGCAGGGGGGTGAAGCGTCTGCCGTGTCCCGTGCTCTGCTGGCAGGGGACTGTTCTCCAAGACGGAGATGTCCGAGGTGCTCACAGAGATCCCTCAAGGTGGACCCCGCCTTCGACAAGGAGCGGTTCCTCATGCAGTGCGAGAAGGACATCATCCCCAACGTGGCTGGAGGTGAGCTCACTCGCTCGCCCAGATTCACTCACCCCGGCTCACCCAGCACCTCGTTCACTCGCCCAGTACCTTGTTGGCTCACGCAAGAGCAAACAATGTACTGGGCCCAAAACCTCATTCGCTCAACCCAGAACCTCTCGCTTTCCAGAACCTCGCGTCGGCTCATCCAGATCCTCACTCGTGCACCCGGGACTTCGCTCGCTCACCTGCATGTCTCCGTGTCTCTGCCCAGGCGATGTTGCGGGGACAGTTGGACGTGCTGCAGGACATGGTGCTACCAGTGCGGTGAGTCTGCCCTGCTCTCCCTGTCACTCTCCAATACCCAGGCCCCCTCTGAGCACAGCAGCGTAACACCCAAACTCATCCCCCCGAGTCTCTCTCACATATGGCTGGAGGAGAAATCATCATCATCATCACCAGCCAATGTCTATCCGCTGCTGAGTAAAGGCCTTCCCCACACCGATCGCCATCTCTGTCCAGTGTTCCTACAAATCCGTCTCACGCATAGACATGAACTTATTTAATCACTCCAACTCTGCGATGGATAGCAACCTTGTAAGTCTATGTACAGATACGTTTAGCTAGCAAATGGCTTCAGTTTGATGTGGGTGGATTTCTGCTTCAAAGCCCCCATTGAATGTTGAGTTCTACTTCTGTGGTCCTCACATTGTGATTTCATAAACTCACACGGAGGCTCTAGAGTCACACAGAGACCCGTTAGACTCGCACAGAGACTCGGGGTCTTAGAGCATGGTTCCCAACTCCAGTCCTGGAGACTTGTTTTCCATGTTTCACGTGACGTGCAAAGCAATGAACGGCGTCTGCGGCAATGGAGACCCAATTCAAATTAACATTGAGGTCATAATAAAGGTTTTTTGGGTGAGATCGCGTTATTATAAATGTGTCGCAACCCTCCACCACCCGACATGACCAATCAGTAAAAAATGTGTCACGTTAACGAAACGGCCAATTAGTTACTTTTTCAGGCCCACCGGTGTGTTTGAAGTGTGAATCCACAACATTTAGAATTTGAGTACTGGTCGCGAAAAGCCTCCGTGTAAAAACTGTTTGGAATGTTGGCGTTTGCCAAAATCTCTCGCCATTTCGGGCGGGAGTGCGGGTAGCGACAACTCGTGCCTCGCAAGCAAGAAACCTGGGTATAAATTCCCGACTCGGGCATCTGCTTGGAGATTGAATGTTCTCTTCCCCTGTTCCTCCCGGTTCTTCGGTTTCCTTCCATCGATGAAACAAAAAAAACATCCAATTGTAACTTGTCATATCCAAACATTGCAATGCTGAAATTAGCAACTTGGGATTTATGAGGGGGTGTGTCGTGGTTTGTGCGCCGTGTTTGGTATCGCACAGACGTACAGTCAGCTCGCTCACCCCATCAAGCAGGCTAAGGCCATGGGCTGCTCCTTCCACTCGCGCATCCTCGACATCGACAACATTGACGTGAGTCCCCTCCTCCTCCTGCCTGTTGTCGTTGTCATCGCGTCTCAGAACCGCGTGCTTTGTCCTGCATGCTAGGGCTGAATGCCAGTGAGCTGTGTGCTACGAGCTGTATGTTGAGCTATAACCTTTGTGCTCTGCTATGAACTGTGATTTGCTATGCTGTGGTCTATCTGGTTTCTGTGTCCTGCGACTCACTGCTCAACTCCTGCTCTGCTGCGTGCATCCATGCGTCACTGCGTGTCCTTTGGCGTTTCCACCGCGTCTCGCGCATCTCCACGCATGTGTCCGTTGCATCTCCACGCGTGTGTCCGTGCATCTCCACGCGTGTGACCGTGCATCTCCACGCGTGTGACGTGCTATGCCGCGTGTATCCGCGCAGCTGGCGTGGGGAAGCTGATGGAGCAGGGGTCCCGTGCTCATCATCACCTTCCAGGCTCAGCTCGTGGCTGGTGCTGCGAGACTCCAAGGGGCAGACGGTGGAGGGCGACCCCGTGCGTACCCAACAACTCTCACCCCCACCAAGGGAGTTAAACGAGCGCAGCGTGCGGTTTAAAGTCCGCGTGCTTTAACGCCACTCCTCACCCTGCCCGCTCTGCCGCACCCCCCCCCCCCGCGCCGTGTGTGTCTGCAGGACAAGTGGGTGCGTATGTTGTACGTGTGGCTCTGTGCCGTGACCAGGAGGAGTCAATCCCCTGGGCTGCGTGGCGCCTCCTGTGACATCTCGGCCTCCAGCTCGGAACAGATCCTCTGATCGCTCAGCCCGCTCCCGGCCCCGCTCCCGGCTCCACAACAGCGACCACATCTTGGCTCCGGTTTAGTCAGAGCTCCGATACTGCAGCTCGTAGGGTGTGCCGCCACCGCCGGGAGTGGTGGTTGGTGGTGGTGGTGGTGGGAGGAGGAGGATTAGCTGAGCGTGAGCACTGCTATGGGGGTGGGGGGGGCACGGTACGGGTGAAGGTGCAGCCCTGAAATTGCTTGTTCGAGCCACTGCTGGCGGAAAGGCCTCCACTACAGGGAGCTCTTAAGAGAGCAAGAGGGTATTCTGCCTACTTTTCCACACTGGCCCGACATCTTGGAAGAGGTGGAAGGTGGACGCGATTCGTAATGATTCCTCCTCTCTCCTCCTCCGTGTAACGCGGGGGCCCAGGGTGCGCTAGCGGGCAGCGTGTGTCACGTTTATTGCGACCTTGCCCGACCCTGTACTGCCAAGATGAGGACGACACCATTTTTTATTGATTGATTTTTTTAATGTAAAAAATAGTGCTATGTTGGAAGAGAATGGTTATTATTATTATCATCATCATTATTATCACAGTCATAATGCGCTATACATGAAGCTATTAAAACAGGCGAAACGCGAGCTGGCTGATGATTCTGCTGTGTCGACGCGACACGGACTCTGCGCCGCTCGGGTTGGGATTGCTCCCTCCACCTCCTGGGCCCCGTGACGACGGAGCCCTGTAAACACAGCAACAGCGGTGTCTGCAATTACAGCAGCACCCACTCCACTCCATTGTGCTCAACTCCACTCAATGGGGCCATATATTTCTGGCGGCAGCCGCGATCACCGTCATGTCCCATCCGTCAGCGCGTCTTTGTCTCGTGCGACTTGGGATGCGATGGTTTTGATGAGCACGAGCAGGGCCATCCATAGGGGGGGGGGGGGTGGGGCCCGGGGCAACGAAACAGGAAGTATTACATCTGACACCACCGGGACGTCGGAAGCACGGGGGGGGGGGGGGAGGGGGGGGTCACCCCGAGTCGCCGTTACCCGAGGGACGGCTCTGAGCACCGCAATGTGATGGTGGACACCGATGAGTGATTGGTCGGTGACACGGAGGTTGCTCACAGCTCCTTGTCTAATCCACTCCAGTCCGGTGTGATAGTGTCAGTCCTCGCCTGCATTGCCCACTCCAGTCCAGTGTGCTCCAGCCACCTCTCGTATGCTTCCAGTTCAGTGTCATCTACTCCACTGTAGTGACACAATCCAATGGAGTGTGAGCAATTTAGCACTTCCCTCCCCCTCTGCATTATCCAATCTCGTCCAGTGTGCTTCTCCAGCCCCCTCTCGTGTGCTCCACTCAATTGTGCTCCAGTCCACCTCGCTCCACTTCACTGTGCCACACTCCAGTCTGCTCCGCTGAAGCGTTTGCCAACTCGGTGGAGACGGAGCGAAGCGTGATCATGACCGCGACGTCCATCACGGCGACGGACTGGGCCTGAACCAGGCCCCCTCCGCGTGGTGAGTGGGAGAGCCGCCCTCCCGTGCCGGCGCGGTTCACCCCACGCTCGCCCCACGCTCACCCCACGCTCACCCCACGCGTCGACAGGGTTCACCCCATGCTCGCCCCCTACTCCGGCGCTGTTCACCCCACGCTCACCTCACGCTCATCCCACGCTCACCCCACGCTCACCACCCGCGTCAACGCGGTTCACCCCACGCTCACCTGACGCTCGCCCGACGCTCGCCCCCCGCGTTGCAAATTAGCGTACGCATCTACCCACCTCCTCCACTGGCACGACCAAACTGCGCCAGGGCCACGGTCGGGCCAACTGGCCCACTGGCGTGGATCAGGAAGCACCAAGATGTGTTTTCCACTGCAGAAACCAAGCCGTGCCGCTAACGTTGCACGCACAAAAAAGTATTGGCCTCGCTCGGGGCTCTTCGGCCCCGTTTGGTCCGCGGCCAGATTCAGAAGTGGTGAGCAAAGTGGTAAAGCCACCCGGACTGCGAGGGAGCCCCACGCTGGCGCGGCTCGGATGTTGCAGTGGAAAAGGGGCGGTCGAGTCCCGACGCTACAAGCGCCGCCCGTTACGTTCTCTTGAAGCGGCTCCATTCAACCTGCAGCTGCTGCTCCACCGAGACCAAGACAAAGATGCCCCGTGTCGCCTTACCATACTTTTGGGGCAAATGTTGTTAGCGAGCAGTATATATGAAGGCCGGCACGGCACACGAGGGGGTGGGTGGCCAGCACCACGCCCGACCGCGTTTGTCTCCGAGTGGCGATGTTTACACACCGCGCCAGGTACTCATTTGAGGTTGAGTCGACGTAACCACGACAATACCACTCCCCAGACACCAATACCAATATTGGTGTTAGTGTTCACGCGCGCATATACAGGCCCGTGCACTCCAATCGCTGTCGCACGCACGCGTGGCTGTGCGCTCGTTTCACCATTCCGCCAGGAGCTCGCGCGTTCCCGTTTTTTCTGCCGGCTCCTCCCGCCGTTTGTTCAGCGTGAGGCACCGTCTCCCGAAGCCCTTGGTCGTGGCGCTGCGTGGCGCCGTCCGGCCTCGACCACCGCCGATGTTCGCTCGTCGCGCCTCCGGGGCGCCGGCGGCGGCTCCGCAGCGTCCCCGGGCCGGGCGGGCGCTCCCCCCGTCCGCTCCCGGCGCTTAGCGTCCGCACGGCGGCGCTGCGCGCCCGGAGGAGGAGGAGGCCGGCGCGCGGGGTGGGGGAGCGCCGGTGGGAGGCGCCGGAGGGGGAGCGGCGCCCGGCGGCTTGGGGCCGGCGCCGGCTTGACCGCCGCGGTTCTGCGCGCGCCGAGACGAGGGAACGCGGGACCGGGGGGGGCCGGGTTCACGAGCCGCCCCCCTCCCGGACGAGGTCGACCCCCGCGCGCCCGAGAGGAGGGGGGCCAGGAGGGGCGCGGCGGGGAGCGCGACGGGGGCCGCGAGCGGTGCCGGCGGAGCGGAGCGCCCGACCGCTCGGGCGGCGCGCACGGCAGACGGCCGCCCGGGCGGGGACGGCGCCCATCTCCCAGGATGCACTGCGTCACCTGACCGGTCTCCTGCAGCTTCCTGAGCAGCTCCTCGAGCGCCAGGCTGGGGTGCGCTCACTCGCTCTGTGTGGCCCTGCTGCTGCCCGGGGTCCCCCCCGCGGTCGTCGCGTCCGACCCGGCGCTCTCCCGGGGCCAAACGGCGAAAGCGGCGGCGGCGGCCGCGGCGGTCGCGACGGGCGACGGCCGCGGCCGGGGGTCGCGCCGCCCCCGCCGCGCCTTCCTGCGCGTCGCGGGCGGGGCGACTCGGGGGTGGGCAGCGCCGCCAGCTCGGGGAGGGGGCGGCCGCCGGCACGGGGGAACGGCGGGGGGAGCCCCCCCGCCCACTCGAGCGCCGTCACGTCCACCTTGCCGACGGCCATGAGCGGCACGAGCAGCGCGGCCGACCTGGCCACGGCGTCGACCTTGCCCCGCGCGGCGCCCTCCAGCAGCAGCTCCTCGAGCAGCCGCGAACGGCCGTAGGGCCCCGCCGGCCCCGGGCCGGCGCCCGGGGCCGGCGCCGCGGGCGGCGGCTTGCGCGGCCGCTCGGGCCGCCGGGGCCGGCAGCGCCGGAAGAGGCAGACGGTGGCGACGCAGGAGAGCGCCGCGCCGAGAGCGAAGGCGCCGAGCAGGCAGAGCCACACGATGCCGGCGGGGACGCGGCCCGGGGAGGTGGAGACCCGCGGCTCGCGGATCGCTCCTGTGGCGGCACGCACGGCGCCAGCGGCCACTCGCGACACGCGGGACGCTCGCTACTCGCACTTGACACTCACTTCACAGTCATTACACTTGATGCTGCGCACACTTCACACTACACGATCACTACTCACTCAGACGTGACACTACTCACGCTTGGCACTCACTGCACATTCACTCTTCAGGCTTGACACGACTCGCACTTGCCATGACTCACGCACTTCACAATCGCTACTCACAGTTGACACTAAACGCAGGACACTCACTACTCTTACACCGTGACGCTCCATGTGATGCTGTGGAGGAGACACTCACCGCTGGACGTCACAACGGAGTCCTGTGGAAGCACGGGGCAATGGAGACGCACAGGATCATCATCGTCGTCATCACCGTCATCATCGTCGTCCATCACCGTCGTCATCATTGTTCAATATCGTCGTCGACATCGTCGTCATCATCGTCATTATTGTCGTCCACATCGTCGTCATCACCACCAAAGTCATCATCATTGCAACCACCATCATCATACTCGTAACCATCGACGTCATCAGCAATCGTCACCATCATAAGCAGCGCCACCACAATCTTGCACAACCCATGTCAATATACACACTAGGCCACTGCACCAAAGTCAAATCACAGCACACAAATACAAAGATCCCCCGTATAGCCTTAACAGACTTGGGGCAAGTGCTGTTAGCGACCACCTATCAAGGCCGGCATAAGCACACGTGGAGGTGGGTGGTCGGAAACCACGCCCGGCCGCCTTTGTCTCCCTAGTGGCGATGTTTACTACACACCGCACCTCGTACTCATTTGAGTTCCCGAGTCGGTTCAGATAATCGTCACTGGTACGCTTAGGTTTTTTTCGGTAAATGTCGTGTAGGTAAAAATAATAATAAAAAAATCAATGAAAAAGAACTAATCGATTTCATAAGTTATTTTTTATTTTTACTATTTTATTTTACCGAAAAAACCTAAGAGTATGAATCCCGAGTTCGATTCACGCCGTGAGCGTGAATCGAACTCGGGTCGCCAGATTCACCGCGCAGCGCGCTAATCGCTACAACGCCGCCTCCCCAACCACTACCACGGCAACAACATCACCACGGCGCTTGTGCCAGGCTATGTGCGTGCACTGTAAGGCCACGTGAAGTGTCGATCTACCACAGCACATGGCACAGACAGAGACACTGGACACCCCCCTGCAGGACTGTGGGGGGCTCACCGGGCGCAGTCAGGCAGGTTCCCCCCCGCCGCTCCCCGTGGCGAGGGCTTGCTCCGCCATGGGGCTGGGGACACAGAGGGGACCCCCCCCTCATCCAGTTAGGCACGGCCCCCCACCGACACCAACACTCGGCAACCCCAAACAACCCCAAACATCCCCAAACCCTCGCGTCTCAGTGGGGCTGCTGCTGCGGTTTGGTGACGTCACTGCCAGTGCGTGGCGCTTTGTGACGTGTGGTGTACGGTCTGTGTTTGCGGTGTGCGTGGGTTATTGAGTGTAATGCGGTGTGTGTAGTGCGGTGCGAGTGGTGTGTGTATTGTGTAGTGCGGATGTGTGTAGTGCGGTGCGAGTGGTGTGTGTATTGTGTAGTGCGGTGTGTGTAGTGCGGTGCGAGTGGTGTGTGTATTGTGTAGTGCGGTGTGTGTAGTGCTGTGTGTGTGTAGCGGTGCATGTGGTGCAGTGCGTGCGTGGGTTCAGTGGGTAGTGCGTGTGGTGCGTGTGTGCGGTGCATGTGGTGGTATGGTGCGTGCGGTGCGTGCGGTGCGCGAGTGTCCGCAACCTGCCGTGGGATGATGGCGTGACGCGGCTGCAGGTCCCCCCCGACCAGGCGCAGTAGGGTCCCGGGACGCCAGGCAAGCCCTGGGGCCCACGCAGAGACGGAGCAGGTCACTACCAGCGTATCTCCTGCACCTTCAGTCAATCGGTCCAACTACTACGAATCTTAATCGATTTTTTGAACCGGGCCTATTAATCACCCGGGCCAAAATTGCGTCGGTACCACCTCCGCTCGAGCCCTGCCTGGGGTCTGGGTACCCACGGGGAAACCCACGGGTACGCGCGACGCAACGGACGCAACGGACGCACAACCTGTCCACCCATACGGTTTACCCGTATTGTTGCACAGGGAAATTGAGTAACAAAAACATTGTCTATTTGTGTTTCTACCATGTGATGGTACTTTGTAGAATTAACGTTTAGATTTATAATGGCACGGGGTGACCAACAAGGTCTGAATTGGTCTGTAATAAGGTAGGGGGCACTGTAAGGGGTCGGACAGTTGTGCGAACGTGACCCGACTCCCGTCGCCCATCGTGCGGCCATGGCCCTGGGACCGACGCCCCCAAGTTCCGACCACCCCGGCACGGCGCGGGGGCGGCGAGTCCAACGCTGGCGCACGCGGGCAACGTTGTTTGTTGTGCCTGGTCGGCTGGTAGCAGGCTCTTGACGACACGAATTTGACCACATCGTTCCCAAAGATCAATCTGGGGGCGGATTTGTTTGTTCGGGTTTTTTTTTGTGACGAGAGGGGCCCGGCCGCTCCGGCCCCGTTCGGTGAACACAGCAGTCGTGGGGGGGAGGGGGGTGGTTGTGGGGGGTGGGGGGGGTGTGAGAGGAGTGGGTTCACGAAGAAGTCGTGAGAAGGTGTGCGTGTGCTAGGCGTGTACTAGGCGTGTGGTGTGGCATGCCCTAGGCGTGTGCCGCACTTCTTGCAGTCTGCGTGCCGCGCGCAGTGGCTGAGCGGGAGGCGCAGCACGCAGGAGGAGAAGGCGAGGAAGACGGCGTGGCGCTCCGCGTCCACGAGCAGCGCCCGCACGCGCGCGGGGACCGCATCGCCACAGCTGGGGGCGGGGGGCACGTGATGGCAACACACAGCGGGGACACACACGACGTGGCACACATGGGATGACATGGGAGGGGTACATGAGGGAGACACGGGGAACATGGGGCGGGGGGCGGTGGATGGGGAGACACGTGGGGAACACACGGGTCCGGGGGGGGGGGGGATCGTGGGAGGGCAACACATGGGGAGAGATACGGGGAGGGGCATAGAGTGGGGACACGGGGACACCGAGTTCAATTCCGCTCAGGGCCAGCTCCAGCGACGAGCGTGTGGACGTGCGGTGTGCGTCTCGCCCCACGTGTGCGCGTTCTCCCCCCACGTGTGCGTCTCCCCCCCCGTGTGCGTCTCCCCCACGTGCGCGTCTCCCCCCACGTGCGGGTCTCCCCCCACGTGCGCGTCTCCCCCACGTGTGTGCGTACTCGCGGGCGCTGTAGGGCTCGCCTCCTCGAGCAGCACGGCGCCACCACCACCGCCACCACCGCCGCCACCGCCCGGCAGCAGCAGCAGCTTGAGCAGCACGCCGCTCTGCGCCGCGAGCAGCCCACCGTCTCGTTTGCCGTGGCGCCCCGCCCTCACGTCCCACCGCGATGTGGGTCAGCCGGTAGCTGGGCGGGGGGTCGGGGGGGGTCACGCCGGGGGTCACGCAGAGGTCGCGCGTTAAGATGGATTATTCTGAACCCAGCGTTTTGAGTCCTACGGGGGTCCGAAAGCTGGCGCTCTCTGTGTGTGCGTCTGCATGTGCGTGCGTTCATGCACATCTGTGCATGCGTCCATGCACATCTGTGCGTGCGTCCATGCACATATGTGTGTGCGTGCACATCTGTGTGTGCGTGCATGATCTCACAGGTGGGGAGTGGTTAGGGTAGTGGTTAGCGCGCTGCGCTATAAACCTAGCGACCCGAGTTCGATTCGTCCTCGCGGGTCAACACCAGTGGCGTTTATCTGAAACGGTTCTTGGCATTCCCTAAGTCGACTCAGCCTTAAATGAGTACCTGGTGCAGTGTATAAACATCGGCAATGGGGAGACAAAGGCGGCCGGACGTGGTGCTGGCTACCCCACCCACTCGTGTGCCGGCCGGCTTTCGGGGGTCCACTTTCCCCAATCCCTGTTGAGGCTATACTGGGGATCTTTTACTGTTCACAGGTGTGCATCTGCCAGTCAAGTCTGGCAGTCAACCCATTGCACCTGGGGCTGTCGCGGCGACCTCCTTGCCATGCGAGCCTTCCGCACTTCCCGTGCCAGCCTCAGGGTGCACCTAGCCTGGCACAAGCGCTGGGGCGGTGTGACGTTGTTGCTGTTCTCACCGGGTGCCGGAGCGCACGAACCAGGGCTGCGGGAGACGGCGTTGACGGCGCGGTGAGCCAGCGGTGTGCGTCTTGGCGAAGCTCAGCGCCTCGTCCGGCAGCAGCGGCGAGCGGGGGAACGCAGCCGCCTCCCCCTCGCCCGCACACGCACCGGGCCTGGCGCGAGACGCGGGGGCGAGACGTGGGGGATGAGACGCAGGGCGACACCCCAGGTGACACACGGGTGACAAAAAGACAAAGATCAACAGATTGTTGGGGCAAGTGCTGATAGCGAATTGCACCTATGAAGACCGGCACGGCAACACGATGGGATGGGTGGCCAGCACCATGCCCGGCCGCATTTGTAGATGTTTACACATCACACCAGGTACTCATTTGAGGCTGAGTCGACCTAGGGTAAGCCCAGGACCTGATCAGATAATAGTCGTGAGTGTTGGCCGTGAGCAGGAATCGAACTCGGGTCGCTGGGTTCGTAGCGCAGCTAGCTGACCGCTACACCACAACTCCCCACACACAGGGTGACACTGTGATTACACGGGGAGACGCACAGGGTGACATACGGGGTTAGACATGGGGTAAGATAATGGCACACGGGGTAACAAACGAGGTAACAAGGGCTGAGAGACGGGAATGAAGCGATAAGCAAGACATGTTCGACAGAGAGACATGTGGACACGGGCATGAGGAACACAGACAGAGGACACAGGAACACAGAGACACACAAGGGATCACAGCCGCATGGCATGATGTCAGGGGCATGATAATGATGTCACGGTGTGATGGGAGTGGTGTGATGGCACTGATGTAATGGGAGTGGTGTGATGAGAGTGTTATGATGGGAGTGGTGTGATGGCACGGTATTAATTCTAGATTTGAAGCTTTCGTGACTGCAAGGATTCATACTCTCAGGTTTTTTCGGTAAAGTCACGTAGGTAAAAATAAAATTAAAAGTTAATAAAAGTAATAATGGAAATAAAATAAAATAATAAATCACGACGTTTCGGAGGCAACACAAGTCTTCGTTATCAGGTGGGACCGTCACAGCTAAAATTACTGCATCAAGCTGTGACGGTCCCACCTGATAACGGAGACTTGTGTTGCCTCCGAAACGTCGTGATTTATTATTTTATTTTATTTCCATTATTACTTTTATTAACTTTTAATTTTATTTTTTACCTACGTGACTTTACCGAAAAACCTGAGAATATGGCACGGTATGATGGCACGATGTGATGGGAGTGGTGTGATGGGAGTGGTGTGATGGCACGGTGTGATGGTATGGTGTGATGGGAGTGGTGTGATGGTAAGGTGTGATGGGAGTGGTGTGAGAGTGGTGTGAGAGTGGTGTGATGGCACGGTGTGATGGCGGGTCTGTGGTTGTGATGCCACCTGGGGGTGGGTGTTGCGGGCCTCCGGCACGGCGAGCAGGGGCCGTCGGGCCCTCGCTGCTCCCGAGTAGCGGCCCTGGAAGGTGCTGGCCACGTCCTCCATGTCGAACGCGCACACGGCCGAGCCGTGGATGCTGCGCACACGCGCGCACGCAATGTAAAGACAAAGCTACCCCGTGTAGCCTCTTGGAGACTGCTGGGGCAAGTGCTGTTAGCGAGGTCGGCACGGCACACGGGGGGTGGGTGGCCAGAACCACGGCCGGCCACTTTTGTCTCCCTTAGTGGGGATGTTTACGCGCCGCAACAGGCACTCATTTGAGGCTGAATCGACCTAGGGGAGGAATCGAACTCGGGCCACCGGGTTCATAGCGCAGCGCGCTAACCACCACACTACCGCTTCCCACACTCGATCACTCAAACACACCAACACAATCTCGCATTCACGCTGCAGAACGGGGAGAACACGCGGGCTCCAAATATACCGCGGGCATCGCCAGGCTCTGGGGCTCGAACCCACGTGCTCCTTCGCGGCAGGCGAGGGTGGTAACGTCTCCTCGACAGCGCAGTGATGCCTGGGTGACGGCCGGGTCGGGGTGGAGGGGGTGGGGTGGAGGGGGTGGAGGGGGTGGGGTCGGGGTGGGGGGGGGGGCACCTGTTGAGGGGGGTGGTGAAGACCCCGAGCACGAGCTCGCGACCCCCGATGTGGAGCACCTCGGAGACCCCCTGGAGCTCGTTGAAGTAGAAGGGGGCGTCCCCCGGCGCCTCGCCCCCCACCGAGCAGTTGAGTCGCGCCTTCACGAACGAGCTCCAGTGGCCATCCAGCACGCGCTGAGAGCCCCCCGCGTCGCTCTTGCAGACGCGCGCCACGCGCGAGAACAGCACCTGGGGGGGGGGGGGGGGGCAGCGACGCACCTGTGTCAGCACGCCTACACAAGTGAAGGAACCCATGTGAAAGCCGGTGTGTGTTGGTGTGTGTGTGAGTGAGTGAGTGAAGGCCGGTGTGTGTCGGTGTGTGAGTGAAGGCCCATGTGTCGGTGTGTGTGTGAGTGAAGGGCGCGTCACCTTGCCCATGGAGCTGAGCTCAACGGCGATCTCCGTGAAGAAGAAGTAGACATGCTGCCCGTGCTCCAGCACCCTCACGAACACGGGCTCTGTGCACCGCACGGCACACGCGTGACGCACCACACACAAGACACGCGTGACGTACCACACACAAGACACGCGTGACGTACCACACGGTTGACTCACGACACGCGTGACACACAACACAACCTCAGACACGCACACACACCTGCCTTGACACAGTACTCGTGATGTGACACGACCTGACACGAGCAGGTCGTGTCACGTCACAGGGGGGGCCGGGCGGTGAGGGTGGGGGGGGGGTCGGTGAGGGGGGGGGTTAGTGAGGGCGGGGGGTTAGTGAGGGGGGGGGTTGGTGAGGGTGGGAGGGTCGGTGAGGGGGGGGGTCGGTGAGGGTTGGTGAGGGCAGGGGGGTGAGGGGTCAGTGGGGGGGTTGGTGAGGGGGGGGGGGTTGGTGAGGGCAGGGTGGGTGAGGGGTCAGTGAGGGGGGGGTCAGGGGGGGGGGTCAGTACCCTTGAGCCACTTGGAGTCGAGTTTGAGGGAGCGCGGGGGGGCCCGGGCCCCAGGCTCCCGTAGACCACCGCGTCCACCCCCAGGGGGTCCACGGCCGTGGCGACGAGTAGAGACGCTCGCCTGCACGCACAGATAAAGGTCCCCCAGCTAGCGCGCGTCCTGTGGGGGGCAAGTGCCCGTTGGCGAGCGGCACCCACGATGTGGCAAAACACCACGCCCGGCCGCCTTTGTCTCCCCAGCGCCGTACCAAGCGCTAATTTGAGGCTGAGTCGACCTAGGGGAGGCTCGGGACCGGTTCGGATAATCGCCACCGCTGTTGGTGGCCGTGAGCGGGAATGGCACTCGGGTGGCCGGGCTAGTCGCGCAGTGCACTCACCACTTTGCCACCGCTCCCCCACGCACGTCCGCACGTACACACGTCCGCACACGTACACACACGGACACACGTGTGTCGCTGGCGTGTCGCTGCGACCCACGGACCTGCGAAGGCAGCCGCCCCTCCCTGCCGGGGGTCGAAGGGACACTTGGCGAGGCCACTCGTTTGCTCCCCAGTGAAGGACAGGTCCGCCAGCTGTCCACGCACACACACACGTACACACGTACACACACACACACGTACACACACACGTACACACACGCGCACACACACACGCGCACACACACGCACACACACACGTGCACGCACACACGTGCACACACGCACACGCACACACACGTACGCACACACACACACACGCACACACACGTACACACACACACGCGCACACACACACGCGCACACACATGCACGGACACGCACGGACACACACGCGCACACGCACGCACACACACACGCGCGAACGCACACACGCACAGCAGGGGCACTAGGAATAGACACTGCGTGACACTGCTGTGTGTGTCTGACACTCCGTGTGTGACACTGCTGTGCGTGACACTGCTGTGTGTGTGTGACACTGCTGTGGGTGACACTGAGAGTATGTCACTGCTGTGTGTGTGACCCAGGCAGCAGTACCTGGTAGTTCCTGCACGTGGGGCTGTATGCGTTGGTGCCGCACACAAAGAGGAGTCCGTCTCCTCGTGGCGCAACCACCTTCATGAAGTTGTGACACTCCTCCTGCGGTGTGAAGACAAACATCCCCCGTACAGCCTCCACAGACTTTTGGGGGCAAGGGCTGTTTAGCCAGCACCTGTGAAAGCCGGCAAGGCACACGAGGGGGCGGGTGGCCAGCACCATGCTCGGCCACCTTTGTCTTTTTACACACCACACTAAGTACTCGTTTAAGGCTGAGCCGACATTGGGGATGCCCAGCACAGGTTCAGATAATCGTCACCGGTGTGGGCGGCCGTGAGCGGGAATAGAACTCGGGCCTCTGCTGGGTTCATCGTCCCCCGAGTGACGCCGGTGTCACCCGCGTGACGCCGGTGTCACCCGAGTGACGCCGGTGTCACCCGCGTTGCCAACGGCACGAAGGGCGGTGGCCCAGGGGCGGCCCCATCGTTCACCGCGCGTTCGCAGACGCTCGCGGTGCGAGCCCGGCGGCCGCCCGGTCAATGCTGCGGCTGATATTCACGTGGGCGGTTAAAGATTCCCGTGACGTCATTCGCACGAGTAGGCCAACGACGTGCGCCGGATTCGTGGTCCAATTTTTCTGTCGCCAACATGTCAACAAGTTAGCACCGCGCGAGTTACTCAACTGACAGACTAATACACAGGGACTGCTGCCACTGGGGGTGCTCCTAGGCGAGATCACACAGCAGCCATCGCCCCCTGCTGTGAACGCACCTCAGGCTGTGTCTGTGATGCACGGCAGCGACTTCCTTCCGAGGATCGCGCTGCGCTATGAGAAGAGGGAGCTCATACGGACTATTTGGTTTTTTTTTAAAAATAATATTTTCCCAGGTAAGGTCCCACTGAGCTACGTAGCGCTCTTTTCAAGAAGCGACCTGGCTATCGCAAGTGACAGCTCAACGAATTGGCTTGTCACGTGGACATTTATAGCGGCGAAATGCTCTAAACGCGTGATGTTGATTCTAAATGTGGAGGGGAAAAACCGGAGGACCTGGAGAAAAATTCACGCGACCACGGGAAGAGAGACACGCAAACTCCAAATATACAGCAGCAGGTGTCAGGGTTGGGATCGAACCCACGACCTCCTGTAGACCAAGCGAGGTAGTTAACATCTAGCCACCGTGATGATGATGAGAGAGACGCAAACTCCAAATATACAGCAGCAGGTGTCGGGGTTGGGATCGAACCCACGACCTCCTGTAGACCAAGCGAGGTAGTTAACATCTCCTAGCCACCGTGATGTTGAGAGAGAGAGACACGCAAGCTCCAAATATACAGCAGCAGGTGTCCGGGTCGGGATCGAACCCACGACCTCCTGTGTACCAGGCGAGGGGGTTAACATCTATCCACCGTGACGACCAGGGGTTGGCAACCAAAACTCGGTACAAAATAAACCCTCAATACTCCTCGAGCCGCAATGCACTGCGTGGTGAATGCGAGACGGTGGTGAATGTTGATGAAGAGCGTCACGAAGTGGGTGTTCAAGAGCCGCAGGTTGGCGACTCCTGAGCCGTGAGAGAGGGGCCCTCGTGGCCGTCTGGCCTCACCTCCGTCTTGCCGTTCATGAGACACCGGTCCACCTCCTGGCGCTCCGCCATCCACGTCAGCTTCTGCGATAAAAAAAACTCCTCACCCATCACGCTCTTCACCTCACGCTCCTCACCCATC